TACTTTCTGCTCAATTTTGGTGTGAATCTAAAACTGTTCTAAAAGATAAAAAATCCTAGGAGGCCTAGTTATAGTTACTACTTTATTTGCAATCAGTGGTGATCCACTGAAGAATTCTACAAACACAGAAGTTATATAGTTCTGCCTCCAAAGGTTAATCTGGGGGCAATGCACACAGTAAGGATGGGAAGAGAGAGGGAGAAGGAAACAGACTTCCCATGTGACTGTTCACTAACTGGTCTATGTAGAAGATTGCAAGGGGCTGAATAAGGCTGTAGCCCTGGAATGAAGGGATGGGAAGAGAGATTAATGACATCACAGTGATGGGACACACATGGCTTGGCATCTGGTTAGATGCCACCATTCAAACATGAGGACAAGAGGAAAAGTAAAAGGGAACAAAAAGTCCTATGGAATGTGAAGAATGATGTTGCCAATAAAAGAAGTATAGGACACGGAGGAAATTAAAGAAGGATCTAACATGGTTCCATAATTCAGTTAATGCACATTCTACAAGACTTCTAGAGTACGATTCTAGACTGATATGCCTAAATCACATTCCCATGGTACACAAATGAGGAGTTTTGCAGATGTTTTCTACGACCGCCTAACAAGCAACTAATCTTTCCACTTGCTCGGTAGCTGGGACCCCTGGAAACAGCACGTGATGCTCTGCAGAAACCAGTTCCTCTGCCTCGGAGGGAGAAAATTGGTTGAATCAATCACACACAGCTAACCTAAGAAGCTGTGCTCAGGGAGAAAGTTGTGCTGTCAGGGAGAGGGAGTTGGATTTTAAATCAAAGGACCTGAGTTTGAAGTGCCATTTCTGCCACTTAATGAACTTGAACCTGAAATAAGTTATTCTCCTATCTTCAGTTTCTTCTTATTTAAAATGTGAATACTAATGCCTGTCTCATATGATTGTAATGAGAATCAATGGAGTGCTCTATGTGAAGGGGTTTTGTAAAGAGCCACGCAAAAGTGAAGGATTTAAAGTTATTTCTACTCAGCAGGGTGAAAATCTCATAATAGATTGTAGTTTCTAGGTGGAAAAGAATTCACTAAAAGGAGGGAAATAAGTTTTATGTTCACCAAAGCAATTTCATGTTGCTGAATTCATTATGTATACACAGTCATCCCTCAGTATTACCAGGGATTGGTTGCAGGACCCCAGTGTACACCAGAATCCACACATACTCAAGTTCTGCCATCATTTCTGAGGAACCTGTGTATAGGAAAAGTAAGCCCTCTTTACACAAGGGTTTTGGATCCTGCAAATACAGTATTTTTGATCTGGGTTTGTTTGAAAAAATATCCACACATTAGTTGGACTGGCACAGTTCAAAACCATATTGTTGAAGGGTCAACTGTATATGCAGCACTGTTAAGATGCCCCCTTTTGGCACAGAATAATAAAGGGTACCATTCCTGATCAAAAAGTCAAAATACTTAGGTCAGAGATGGCCCTGTTATACATATCCATCTTAGGAACTCAGAAATATTTGTGACAATCCCATGGACATTCATTTACAGGAGAGTACCTAATTCTTCTAGAAGAAACTATTAAAACATTTCAGGATTTGTGGCCCAAATTCCATATCAGCATGCAGAAACAAATCCTGAAGATGGCTGCAATCACAATTCCTAGGAAGCCCCCATGGTTCTAACCTGCTCAGCAAAGAGTGTTATAAACAAGGATGAGGTATCTCCTGAAAATCACGTTCTTGGCTAGCAAGGCCATTTCCTGGTCTTTGATAGAATAACATGGTGGCATGTAGTCATGAGAACCAGATAAAAAAATGTCCCTCTGAATTAGAGCCTCCCCCACCACTGATGTGGAGTCCTACCCTCTGCTCTGAGCTGGTTTCCCTGGTACCTCCATGATCTATCACCTTGGTCCTCCTGCCCCCGCTTAGTTCTGCTGGATTACCTGCAGATTTAGACATCAGTACCATTACTCAAAACCATCTGATTCAGCTAACATTGATGTATAACAAACTGCATCCAAACTTAATGGTTGACAAAAACCGCCATTTATTACTTCTTACACGTCTGTGGATTGGGGAGCGGTTCTGCTCATCGAGGCTGGGCTTAGATAATCTTATCAGAGGCCGTGCATGCATTGGGATTCAGTTGGCAGGTTCCTGGGGACTGGCTACTCTGTGATAGTCCTGACTGGGACAGCTTGGCTCTAAATACATGCTTCGCATCCTTCTAGCAAGCTAGCCTAGGTATTTTCTCATGGCAAGAGCAGGGTCCAAGAAAGAAAGAGGAAACCTGAGAGCATTATTTTCAAGCCTCGGCTTGCACCATGACCACACTGTCAGACACCAACTATTATATAATACTCTCTGGAGGTGAGTCCCAACTTACTTCTCTCTCAAGTAGTTTTTATTTAGAAAATGAGAATGGTAGTGTACATATTGCTTCATAACTTATTTTTATTTATCAATATATAATCAATTTATTTGCTATTATAACATATTCCTCTAGAGCAAGGATTAAATCTTGCCTACTGCATGCATTTTTATAGCTTGTGAGCTAAGACTGGTTTTTACATTTTAAATGGTCAGGGGGTGAAGAAAAAGAATATAATTTTGTGGTGAAAGAAAACTGTATGAAATTCCAACTTCAAGGTCCATAAATAAGTTTTACTGGAATACAGCCACAGCCATTCATTACGTGTTGTGTATGGCTGCTTTCTCACTACAACAGCAAAGTTAAATCGTTGCAGTTAGGGAGCACATAGACCCCAAAGCCCAATATATTTACTACCTGGCCCTTTACAGAAAATGTTTGCCAACCCTGATTCTACAGTGTGACTTCCAAAGGCTGAACAGTGATGTGATTTTTCTTTTGTGTCAGTACTGTCAAGATCTAAGTTACAAATGTTGAATATGAAGGTCGTGCTCAGTTTTTAGTATTATAGATAACAACTCTCAAAAGGAAATATGTGCATTTCTGAATTATTCATTTGTTCAATTCTTAGAAATGGAATTATTGAGGGAAAAGATAAGCACATTTTAAGGCTTTGATGCATACTGCCACCTTGACATACCTTTAAGATAGATATAAAATCATTTAAAACATAATTTTATATCCACTTCTTAAGAATTATTTTCATTAGGAATGGATATGGGATTTACTCAAAGAACATTTTGATCCATTGAGATATCATCTGATTTTTCCTTTTGCTTAATGATATAATCAGATTTCTTAAAAAAAAAAAAAAAAAGTTTTTACTTTCTTATTTAATCACCTTTGAATGCAAAATAAAAGATTTATTGAAAGATTTTATTTAACACAAAATCATGTGAATAACTTCTCCATAAGTTATCACTACCCATCAGGACTCCACTTCTACATTTCTGAGATGGAGAGCTTAGACACTTTGCCTCCAGTTCCTCCTGGCTTCCCATGAAATGTACAGCAAGGCCACATCAGGCCTCACTCACTGATATGGTTTGGCTCTGTGTCCCCACCCAATCTTACCTTGAATTATAATAATCCCCACATGTCAAGGGCAGGGCCAGGTGGAGATAATTGGATCATGGGGTCAATTTTCCCCATACTGTTCTCATGGTAGTGAATACATCTCATGAGATCTGATGGTTTCATAAATAGGAGTTCCCCTGCACATGCCCTCTTGCCTGCCTCCATGTAAGACATGACTTTGCTCCTCATTTACCTTCCACCATGATTGTAAGGCCTGCCCAGCCATGTGGAATTTTGAGTCCATTAAGACTCTTTTTCATTATAAATTACCAAGTCGCAGGTATGTCTTTATTAGCAGCATGCAAACTGACTAATACACTCACTACTTTGTAACTTTCTGTCATCCAAGGGAAGAACCCTTACCATTTTGGGGATTTACCACTTCAGTGGCCCATATGAGTTTTTGCTAAATGCCATTGATTCAAAGTGGCAAAATTCTGGTTCCAGGCAGACTATTCTCAATCTGGCCATGGTCTGAGCTCCTCTCCAGCCCACACTCTGAATGAGAAGGGACCAGGGTCACCAGCGTCTCCTCTAATAGTTTCCTGTGATAGCTCTTTTGCTTTCCCAGGGAGGCAATCAGCCCAGCAGCCCTTGGCACCATCGCTTAGCTGAGGGGCAGTTATGATAAATAACAGAATTTTATTAGACTTTTTGGCATATTGATAACTCCTCTACACTATTTTTGGGTCAATGCAGGTTTTTCTAACAGTTTGTATTTCAGATGGATTCTGGGATGGAAGAGTTTGACACCTGTGCCCAAGTCAACATCCTTTCCAAAAGATTTCCTAAAAGGCAAATTTATGTTAGGTTGTGATTATATGAGCATGAAGAGAGTTTTGAAAGGAAGTTCAGGGAAGTAAAGACAGAGGGAAGAAAAAGCTGACCAAAAAAGAACATAGAGACCCATCTTTCAACCAAGTTAAAATTACATACTTAGAAAAGGCCTGAAAGAAGGCACCATCTCAGCATAAACTTATTAAATAAGATCTAAAAATTACCCAGACAGTAACAGAAATGTTTCCTTGGCCATCCTGGTGGTCAAGAGATTGTTGCCAGCCTCTTAGGCAGAAATAATTGAAGAAGGAATTATTTCCCACAGTATCCTTCAATGTACGTAGACTAAATTATAGAGCATTCCCACTTTTTAAAAAAACATAATTTGTTTCAAAACTATATATCTGTGATAGTGAGCCACACCTACGAGATAGCTTTCTCTTAATGTGCTAGACCAGTACCCTTCTCCACCTGTTGATGGCTTGCCCAGTAGCAAGAGGCTTCTCTATCTTTTACCAATCACCCAAGTATTTTATTTCTCTGTTCCCTCTATCCCTACTTATTGTTCCCCCCAAAGTTTGCATCCCAATACTCTTTATTTTTTCTACAGTATTCTGTAGGATATTTACAGGTATCCTCTGAATAGCTTGGGCTAAATTCAGTCTTCTTTTTACCCTCAAAGTTAGACCCAACCAGGACATTTATTGGATAGATGAACAAACATCGTAATGCAAAAAGAAAGGAGCGTAAGTGTGAGCTAAAGATCATGAAAGGTAGGCCCAGAATCAAAATCTAGTGAGATCACATTCAAATGCCAAATTCTAAGGACAACCCCCAAATCACAAATGTGATTTTGAGGCCAGATTCAGAAGCCAGAAAACAAGTGATAAGAACAGGAGGCAGTAAGAAAAAAGACGTTCCAGGTCAACTCCTATTACCATCTTCGGAGTAAACATGGCTTACATTTATTGTATGCTGAGAGGATCAGACTATCTTAAAGATAGTCCAAGTGGATACATGTTGGGGGAAGCAGCAGTGGAGAAAGGGTTTACAGTGTGCCTACATAAACTGGTTATATGTATAAAAGAAATCAGGAACAATAAACTGCAGAAGGCCAGAAGAGGCCTCTGGGGAGGAAGGCCTCTCCATACCTCATGTTCCAGTGCAGGGTGACCTAAGCTCTGTTACCATAAACACTGTACTCAAGGACATAAAACCCCTTCGTAGCACAGAGACGTAACCAGACTCATAGGCTCTTTCTAAGGCCCAAGTTCCACCAGCTGCACATAGATAATAGGCTAAAGATAACCACATTGTCTTGTTTTGTGAAACTCCCAAACTACCACTGTTATCAATCTTTAGAATGACACACAAGTTCCGGCTCATTGATTCAGTTCTGGCTCACTGATCCATCTCACCATCACGTCACCCTCTCCCCACCATCACTCCAACCCTACCCTATAGATCAAAGTGACTGTAAACAATAAATAGTGTGAGAGATCAGAGCTTGGGGCCTTCACTGCCTCGAGTAACAAGTGATGGCCCCCTGGTCCCACTTTCACTCTTAATCTGTCTTTTTCTCAATCCTTTGTCGCCACCGAACTTGGGATACCCATGGGTGATGTGGGGGCTGGTTCCCTACAGATACAGAGTTTCAACTACATATAAGATTTAGCAAATTCCAGAGGATATTTCTGTAAATCTGAATAATCAATACAATAATTATGTGTCTTAGTCTCTTCAGGCTATTATTTAAAAATACCATAAACTAGGTAACTTATAAACAACAGAAATTTATTTCTTACAGTTCTGAAGGCTACAATGTCCAAGACCAAAGCACCCACAGATTGGGTGTCTGGTGAGAGTGTCTGCTGTCTCAGGATGGCACCTTCTTGCTGTGTTCCCATATGGTAGAAGAGGGCAAGGCAGTTCTCTGGGATCTCTCTCAGAAGAGCACCAATCACCTCTTAATACCATCACCTTGGGGATTAGGATTTCAATATATGAATTTTGGGGAAACATAAACATTCAGACTATTCCAACTATAAAATATAAATTTACTTCAAAATGTTATAAGCAAAAATGATTTTCTATCTTATCTTGGCCCACATGAAAATTATATGTTTATCCTTGCATATTTTAAAAGGTTGGAAATTACCATCCTTGAATTCACTCAACTACAACTTAAGTACTATGTATATTAGAATCAGTCATTAGAAGTGATTAACATGTAATTATTCTGTGTAATAATTTGAAGCATACAGTGCCTCAAACACTCAGTTTCCTTCAAGGTCAAGCATAACTAGCTCACAGGCTTGCTGAGAGCCCAAGATGAAATACTATCAACTTTTACAGAGTACTTATTTATTAAAATGGTGCAAATGAGGTGATGATGAGGACTGAGAGGACATAAAACAATCCAAAATGATGTCTCCCAATATTCTCTCTCTCTCTCTCTCTCACACACACACACACACAACATACACACACACACACAACATACAATCACATGATAATTACAGACTATAACTTGGGAGGGATAAAGGTTGTTTAAAAATTAATTGGCAGGTCATCAGGCTCAGATGACTCCAGCACAAACACACAAAGAATACAAGTAAAACTGACTAAAGAAGGGCAAATGATATCAATGCCAATCCCCTGGCTGTAATATTATATAATAATTTTGCAAAATTGATCAATGGGGAAAACTGAGCAAAGAGTACAAGGGATCTCTCTGTATTATTTCCTACGACTGCATGTGAATCCACTCCACAATTATCTCAAAGTTTTAAAAATAAGTAAATGTTAATCATAAATATGACTAAAGGCAAACCACGTTATATGTTAAATTCCCACATTGAAATATAGAAGTATTCAAATCAATTTTTTAAAAACAACATTATTTGTAAGAGACATATTTAAAAAGACAATAATAGAAAATAATACATGAAAATGCTTACAAAGATTAGGAAGTGTAACAATATTGATATCACAAAAATATAATCTGAGGGAAAAAATCAAACAGAATAATTCATGTAGATATAAAAGGAAAAGAAAACATACATGAACTAAATACAGCTCCCAAAATAAATGAAAAACTGACAGAAATACAAAAAGAAATAGAAAAGTAAATTAATGGGATGCAATTACAACTCTCTCAGAAACAGTGAGATCAAGTAAACAAAAGTTTAAGATAATTTGAATAACCAAAAAAGTCATCAGTATAGATTAGACAAAGGTATATAAAACTCTCTATCCGATTGAGCAAGCACATTACTTGAAAACATGTAGGAAAACATGGATAAAATCTTATCCTCCATTAAGCCTCAGAGAAAAAGTTCATTACTTTCCAAACAACTGAAATCATGGATACCACATTCTCTGCAAGCAGCACGATAAAATTAAAAACAAAAGCCAGAAAAATTACACTCACTAGAAAAGCAAAACACCAAATCTTCCATGAAAGATACAAGAACAGAAAGTGTGTGTACTTAGAAATCAATTTTGAGAGCACAAGTATGAAAACCCACAGGTTCTACATTAGTCAATTGCAAGATAAGCCCAAGACGATGTTCAGCGAAACATTTACAAATGCATAGATTAGAAAAGGCTGAAAATAAAAGAAGTATACAGTTCAGGATATTATTGAATTAGCAGTAAAAGATTGTTTTAAGATAGAAAAGAGGGAAATTAGAAACTTAAAATAAAAAACAATAGACATAGACATCATCATTAAAACTCTGAAAGGACTAAAAACATAAACCTTAGGCAGGCCTGAACAACAACAAATTGAAAACTCACACACATGTTTGAAACAGTTAAAGTCAAATTAAAGAAATGGGAGATTTTTAATTAGATTAATAGGTATAATTTATAATGAATTTGAGGTTTTATATAAAACATGATTTTCTAGGAAAGACAATCCATGAAAAACATTAAAAAGGCTTCAAAGATATAATCTTTTAAAATGATACAAGGTCTTATCAGCAGTTTTTAAGGACAAGTTTTAATAAACTTTCAAATATCTGAAAATTCCAATGTTTCTAAGCTTTTCCAGAACACACAATGGTGAAATAAAATCGTTTTTAGCTTACTTTATGCAAACAGATTAACCCAGTGCCCCTGAATCAAAATCAGAAAAAGAGAGCAAAGAGGGAGGACAAGAAGGAAAAAAAAGATGGGATATTATAAGATTTAAAATGCAAAAATCCTAAATGAAATTTTTGCAAATGGAACCCATGAGTATGCAAAAAGGGTTTATCTCAGCAATGCAACTAGGATACCATATTAAATCTCTTAATGTAGCAAAATATATTTAAAGACAAAAAAGACAAAAAAAATTCAGTACTATGTACTGAATTTGATTAAAAAATTTTCATAGTAAGAAAAACTAGTAAACTAGGTAGAAAAAAAACTTTAATCAGATCAAATGAATCTGCCAGAACCTATAGTAAACAACCAAATTCATAGAGAAACATTATTAGTATTCTCATTAAATATATGAATAGATAAAGGAACTTGCTAATACCATTATTATGTGATACCATAATGTAGATTCCAGAAAATGTGGTTAAAAAGAAATTAAATAAAGGAAAAGATAGAAAGATGTTAGATCATATTGATATAGACACTACATTTGCTAAATTAAATTTCACCCAAAACAGTAACATGGAGAAAAGATAATAAAATACTTCCTATTCACAATGCAAGATGTTTAACCTGAACTTATATTTTTTTTAACTAAGGCAAAACAATACTGATGCCAGAAGAGAAAAATCAGTGAACCAGTGTTAAAACCAATAAATAGTCACAGTTACATCTGGGCATTTTTTTATATGCTAACTGTATCCTTTCAAATTAGTGAAGAAGACTAGGCAAATATAGTTATCAGATATATGCTCAAAGATATATAGGTAAAGGCAATAAACTCAGTATTCTTTACCTGAATGTTTAATAATCTAGAATACCACTCAGCATTAAAATTATATTACAAAATATTCAAGAAAATTTCCACAGTAACTGTTGTGTAATTTTTTCTTTTTTTTTTTTAGATGGAGTTTTGCTCTTATAGCCCAGGCTCGAGTGCAGTGGTGCAATCTCAGCCCCCTGCAGCCTCTGCCTCCTGTGTTCAAGTGATTCTCCTGCCTTAGCCTCCCAAGTAGCTGAGGCTGCAGGCACCCACCACTATGCCCAGATAATTGTTATATTTTTAGTAGAGACAGGGTTTCACCATGTTAGCCAGGCTGGTCTAGAACTCCTGACTTCAGGTGATCCACCACCTGGGCCTCCCAAAATCCTGGGATTACAGGTGTGAGCCACCATGCCCTGCCATGTCGTATAATTTTTAAAAATAAAACAGTATTATCCGAGTCACGGCATCAAATAAATATATCTTTAAAAAAGAAAAAAACAGTATTTCGTTATTATAATTTCATGAATATAAAGATGTAAAAGACAGGTCATGCACAGAAAAAAAGGCAGGAAATATGTGAAAAAATTACAATGGTTATTTTGAGAGAATGCAGTTAACTGTGATTTTTATTATTTCTGTGTTTCCTTTTCCTTTTTTTTTTTTTTTTTGAGATGGGTCTTACTCTGTCACTGAAGCTGGAGTGCAGTGGCACAATCTCAGTTCATGCCTCCACCTCTCAGATTCAAGTGATCCTCCCACCTCGGCTTCCCAATGTAGCTGGGATTCCAGGCACACACAACCACACCCAGCCAAATTTTTTAATTAATGTAAAGACAGGGTCTTGCTATGTTGCTTAAGCTGGTCTTCAATTTGTGGGCTCAAGCAATTCTCCTGCCTCGGCCTCCCAGAGGGCTGGGATTACAGGCATCAGCCACCATACCTGGTCCTTTTCTGTCTTTCCTGACAATTACATTTGTAATTAGAAAATAAATTTTGATAATTGCAGCATTTTAGGAGGCCGAGGCGGGTGAATCACCTGAGGTCAGGAGTTGAAGTCCAGAATGGTCAACATGGTGAAACCCCGTCTCTACTAAATATACAAAAATTAGCCAGGCATGGTGGCAGGCATCTATAATCTCAGCTACTTGGAAGGCTGAGGCAGGAGAATCGCTTGAACTCAGAAGGCGGAGGTCGCAGTGAGCCAAGATTGTGCCATTGTGCTCCAGCCTAGGCAACAAGAACAAAACTCATCTCAAAAAAAAAAAGAAGAAATTTTGAGGTGACTTATTTTAGCTGAAATGACAATTTGTTTTGTGAACAGGAGAGGGAAAAAAACACTTATGATAGCATAAGTGAAAGAATATGTAAGATTCTCATGAAAAAAAATGTGAGACTATCACATGAAAGAATATATGTGATTATATCATTTTATTCATTCAAAACTTTGCCATATAAAAAGAATTGGCCAAGGAGTGAGTCTACGGTAAAATTTTAGGATGGGTATAAGGGTCTCTACCTCATTCACGTATTTGGCTTCAATAGGATGCATTATGTATTATGTATTAGCTGATAATATGTGTTGCAGGAGTCAACAAAGCAGATTTGTGGAAGCATAATTAGCTTCACAAGCAAAACAAAGCAAAAAAGCAATCAGAGGTGTTCTTGATCTTTAGCACAAATGTGGATGTGCTATTGCTTTCCCTGGAAGATCTGTTGAAAGGCTGTTTTATCTGCAAGGCTACTGTGTCTCAACTCACTTGGGTGCAACTGGGCTGGCAATGAGATGCAGGATGTCCTTCCAGGTAGCCACCTAATTTCTCTGCAGAAATACCCGTGAGCTGCCAAGCAGCGACTGTGCTGGTGCCAGCAATCTGGCAATTGAAAGCCAAATCTGTTATGACCCAAGGTAGGCAATGGTTAAGTAATGACAGCAGGAATTTCTCCAAATTCTGAGTTCTCTGCACCCTCCTGCTGATCACTGCTAGAGGAAAACTATGAACAGAAACAGCATTGGAGGGGGAAGCAAAAGCCAGTGTGGGGGACTGAATTGTATCTCTCCAGAATTCATCTGTTGAAGTCCAAATCCTTAGTACCTCAAAACGTAACTATATTTGAAGACAAAGACCTTTAAAGAAGTGATTAAGATAAAATGAGGTCAGATGTGTGGTCCCAAATCCAGTTTGGCTGGTGTCCATATAAGAGGAGGTTAAGTCACAGGCAACACACGGACCAAGGGGCGACCCTGTGAGAACGCAATGAGAAGATGGCCAGCTACTAGCCAAGGAGAGAGGCTTAGAACAAACCACAACTATGGGTACCTTGATGTTTGATGTTTAGACTCCAGAACTGTGAGAAATAAATTTCTGTTCTCTAAGCCACCCAGCCTGTAGTATTGTGTTATGGCAGCACTAGCATACAAATACACCTAGAAACACTCAAATTTCAAAATGCTCCTATAGTACTCCTCTCAAAAATATATATATTTTAAAAATACATATCAAAGAAGAAAACAATCTTACTGTATCAACTCTAATTGTTTTTGGAAGATATCTTGGCTTCTTTACTTGCAAATAAAATAGCAAAAAATAAACTGTACGCACAGATGTATATATCTGGTGATGTGTTTTATACTTATTAGAAAGAGATTTGCCCTCCCTTTCTCATAAAACATGGTATGCTGTGATCCTTATCCCTAAAGTCATCTGTGGGACTCTGTCATGCAATGGTCTCTGAAGCTTTTGTTTGAAAGGAAATGAGGTCACATCATCCATCATCCCACCAGTGAGGAAATTTTTTCTACAGTGTCCTTGACAATGTGGACAATCTCTGAGAGTGTACAGGTGCCCAAACACAGGGGAGAGCTTCATGCACTGACAGAATTCTAGTTTCCAAAAAGTTCATCCTAATATTCAGCTTAAACCCACACCCATTATTCCAAGTTCCACCTTCATATTTGCACTGAAAATGTTAACCCCTCCTTCATGTCCAGTGTCCCGGCTCTTCACATCTACTGCCTACCTTCCTTGAAGTACACTCTTTTTTGACTTTGTCTTACCTCTGGTAGTATCCACAGAGTCAACACCCTATGTCCCCTGAAATCCTCTAACAAAAAGGAAGCATGAGATCAGCTTCTGGCGTGACCACAGGAGGAGCTCAGCTGACCTGTTCCTCAGTGAAACTGTTTATACAAACACAGAATTTGAAGCCTCTGGAAATGGGCCTGATAATAAGCATCAAATGAAAAAACATCTATTCAAGAAAATCTGAGAAAATTCTGTAACAAAAGCAAGTCTGTGCCTGTATTAGGAAAAAAAAAAAAAAAAAGGAAGATCCCGAATCAATAAAATCAATAACCTAACTTTCCACTGTAAGATAATGGAAAAAGAAGAGCAAAGTAAACCTTAAGCAGGCAGACTGAAGGAAATAAAGATTAGAGCAGAAGTTAATGAAACAGAGAATTGGAAAACAACAGACAAAAATCAATGAAACCAAAAGCCGATTCTTTGAAAAAAATCAACAAAAATGGCAAACTTAAGCTAGATTGGCCAAGGGAAAAAGAAAAGACTCAAGAACAAAAACAAAAGAGGGACATTACTAATGGCCTTACAGAAATAAAAAAGACTATAAAGAAATACTATGAAAAATCTGCACCAACAAATCAGATAAACTAGATGAAACTGATACTTTAAAAGATACGACTTACTCAAAGTGACTCAAGAACAAATAGATGACATAAATAGACTTGTAAGTAAAGAGATGGAATGAGTAATCAAAAAACCACAAAGAAGTACCTTCTGTTCTTCCAAGCCCTGGGCCAGATCTACACTGATGAAGAATTTGATGAACTATGTTTTCAATTTGGTCTGGAAGTTGACGACATTACTACTGAGAAGGAAATAATAAGTAACAAACAAGATAATGTAAAGGCAGAAGGGGCCTCTAATGGTCTTTACAAATTTAACGTCTCTGTCAATAGATATTGTCTCATGTGTCTGGAAGGATTGGTTTGAGGACTTCAGGTCTTCAAAGAAAGGATAAAGGCTCTGGCATATGAATAGATAACGTCTAATGGAAAAATCCAGAAATTGATTATCACAGAAAAGATAGCTAAGGTATGCCCTTTTACAGTAGCAGCAGTTTCCAAAATCTAAGATTTACTAAAGATCAATATGACAGCTTCATTGAATGTCAGGAGAAATTACATCAGGATATTTACAGGAAGAGAGCATTAGTTGCTATTGGAACCCATGATTTGGACACTTGGTTACCCATTAACTTTTACTGTGCAAAGTGTCCTTTAGATATCAGGTTCAAGCCCTAAATAAGGCTAAGGAGTATACAGTCTATGAGCCAATGAACATGTTACAAGACTGACAACCACCTTAAACACTATTAACATGTCATTGAAAAAAAACCCCTGTACCTAGTTATCTATGATAGCAAGGGTGTCATCCTTTCAATGCCTTCCATAACTAATGAGGATCACTCCAAAATGACACTAAATACTAGAAAGTTATTTATCAAATGCACAGGAACTGACTTTACTAAGGCAAAAAAGAATTCTTTATATTATCTTGTCACCAATTTCCATGAATATATCGAGAACCAAATTATGATTGAAGCAACTGAGGTACTTTTCCTAATGAAAAATCATATACTTTTCCAGAACTAGCTTGCCAAAAGGAGACAGTGAGGCTAGATGTGGTAGCTCATACCTGTAATCCCAGCACTTTGGGAAGCTGAGGTGGGAGGATTGCTTGAGCCCAGGGGTTCTAGACCAGCCTGGGCAACATAGTGAGATCCCATCTCTATAAAAACATTTTAATTAAAAATTTTTTTAGAGATATAGTGAAAGCTGATCTTGTTACCAAAAAGAAAAAAAAAAAATGGAATCAAAGAAACGCCAGAAAATCTTGCCTAGCTTCTGACCAGAATGTATTTGAAGTCCAAAGTCATAGGCAATGGGAATCATATTGAGAATAAAACCCCTCTGACCACAGCTGACATTATCCATGCATGTGATATTGTAGAAGATGCAGCAATTGCTTATGAATATAACAATATGAATATGACTTTCCCATAAATACCACAGGTAATCAATTTCCTCTTAATAAGCTCAAAAAACTTCTCAGACATGACATGGTAGCTGAATCCACTTCACTAAAGCACTCGCCTTTGCTCTCTGCTCCAGGAGGATATTTCTGATAAACTTTGTTTGGATATCTCTGCAACAAAAGCAGTCCATATATGTAAAACTAAAACAGCTCAATTACAGGTGGCATGCATTATCCTTCATCTTGGTGTTCTGAAGACCACAGAAACAAATCAGATGCTCCTTCCTCTGAAACTATTTGAAATCTCTAATAGTGTAATAAAAGATTCTAACAGAGATGTAGGCACACAAAACTACAGGCATCTCTTGCTGTTTATTACAACAAGAATCCTGGGTTTAAGGTCATCCATATGCATCTGGACAGAATTACGCAGCTGCTCAATGTACCTCCTGTTGAACATTTGAAGATAAAGGGGGATGTGTGATCAAATTATGAAAAGGGACTGCTTTCTTCCCTGGGCGATGTTCAGAGATCTTTGCCAGGAGTCAAAGCATCAGGAAGCTTGGGGTCTTTCATCCTGATGTTATCACCAAATTTGAGCTGACCATGCCCTGTTCCTCCCTGGAAATCAATATTGAGCCCTTTTTGTGAAGATGGGTCTTGTTGTGTGATTCTCTTCCCAAGTATCACTTTCTCCTTCCCTGATGTCCTTTAGTCCTCCTCCACAGGAAACATTCATTTGTGCTTTAATGTTTAGTAAAGTAGAAAGCACTGTCAAAAACAAAACAACAACAAAAAATCCTTTCCGCAAAGAAAAGCCAAAACCCATATGGCTTCACTAACAAATTCTGCCAAACATTTAAAGAAGAATAAATACTAATTTTTCACAAACTCTTCCAAAAGGTAGGAGAGAGTACTTCTCAAATTATTTTATGAGGCCAATATTAACCTGATACCAAAACCAGGTGGGAAAAATTACAAGAAAACTATAGACTAATATCTCTTACAATTATACATGTAAAATATCCCAACAAAATACTAATAAACCAGATCCAGCAGCATATCAAAAGGATTATATTCTGTTACCATGTAGAATTTATCCCAGGAATGCAAGGTTGGTTTAACATCTGAAAATTAACTTAATACATTATATCAATATAATAAATATCAAAATTACTTATTCCAGTAAGTGAAAGAAAGATTTGACAATATCTGATGCTCATTCATAATAAAAAGTAATAAACTAGGAATAGAAGGGAATTTTCTCAACATAATGAAGGGCTTCTGAAAAACCAATAGTTAACATCATACTTACTGGTGAAAAACTGGATGTTTTCCCCACTAAGAGCATGAACAAGACAAGGATGTCTGCTCTTACTACTTCCGTTCAACATTGTACTAGTGGTTCTACTCAGGCCAATTAGGCAAGAAAAGGAAAAGGCACCCAGATAGAAAAGGAAGAAGTAAAACAATCTCTATTCACAGATGACATTATCTGATATTATATATAGAAAATTTTAAGAAATCTAAAAAAATTACTATAACTAAAAAACAAGTTTAGCAAGGTTACAAGATAAAAAATCAATACATGAAAATTAATTGTACAATTGTATTTTGTATATTTGCAAATGAGCGATCTAAAAATAAAATTAAGAAAACAATTACATTCAAAATAATACCAAAAAGAATAAAATACTTAGACATAAATTTAACAAAAGAAGTTCCAAACTTTGAAGACTACAAAACATTACTGACATTAAATAAGTGGAAAAACATCATATGTTCACGCATCAGAAGACAACACAATGGTAGTACTCCCTAAACTGATTCAGAGATTCAATGTAATCCCTACCAGAATCCCAATGGAGTTCTTTGTAGAAATTGATTAGCTCATTATCAAATTCATGTATAATTTAAGGAACCAAGAAATAATCCTGAAAATAAAAAAAGAAGGACTCATACTTTCTGATTTCCAACTTTCTACAAAAGAATGGTAATCAAGATATTATGGTACTGGCATAATGATAGACATATAAATCAAATAAATAGAACTGAGAGTCCAGAAATAAAACCATACATCTATACTCAACTGATTTCAACAAGAGTGCCAAGACCATTCAATGGGGAAAGAATATACTTTTCTACACATAGTGCTGGGACAAATGGATATTCACATACATGAAAATGAACTTGAGCTCTTCCTTCACACCATATACAACATTAACTCCAAATGGATTAAATACTTAAATGTAAGAGCTAAAACTGTAAAACCTCTTAGGAGAAAACACAGGAGTAAATTGCACATCCTCATGACCTTGGGTTTGGCAATGGATTTTTACATACGGCATCAAAACCATGAGCAACAAAAGGAAACAGCTTTCCATAAAATTTTAAACCATATGCTTCAAAGGTCACCACATAAAACCCTACAGAATGGGAGAAAATATTTGCAAATCATATGTCTATGAGGCATATCTAGAATACTTTTTTTGAACTCTTACATCTCAAAAGCAAACAATCCAGCTAAATAATGAGCAAAGGATCTGACTAGAGATTTTTTCAGAGAATATACACAAATAACCAATAAGCACATGAAAATATGTTCACATTTGTCCTCAAGGAAATAAAAGTCAAAACCACCATGAGATACCACTTCATACCTACTAGGATGGCTCAATCATAAATGTCATATGATAACAAGTCCTTGCAAGGATATTGAGAAGTGGGATCCCTTATACACTACTAGGGGGGCTGAAAAATGGTGAAGGCACTTTGGAAAACAATCTAGCAGCTCCTCAAACATAAAGTTCTTATGTGACCCAGTCATTTCACTCTGAAGTATTTGGCCAAGGGAAATGAAAACATATGTGCACATAAATAAAACTGTGTACAAAAATATGAAGAGCAGTATCATTCACAATAGCCAAAAGTTAGAACCAACCCAAATCTCCACCAACTGATAGATAAAGATATACCATACAATAGAATATTACTCAGCCATAAAAAGGGAGGAAACATTGATACATCTAACATCTTAGATGAACCTTGGAAACATTATAAGTGAAAGAATTCCCTCCCTAAAGTCCACATATTATATAATTTCATTCCTACAAAAATCTAGTACAGAGAAATCTACAGACACATAAAGATTGGTTCTAGCTTAGGGTTGGGATAGATGGGGAATGCAAGGGTGATAACTAAAGGGTGCAAAGTTTTTTTTTGGAGATGATGAAAATATTCTAAAGTGTTCTGTGAGGCTGGGCACAGTGGTTCATGCCTGTAATCCCAGTGCTTTGGGAGGCCAAAGTGGGAGGATTGATAGCAGGAGTTTAGACCAGCCTGGGAAACATGGCAAGACCCTATCACTACAAAAAAATTTAAACATTAGGCATAGTGGTGCGTGCCTGTGGTCCCAGCTACTTGGTTTGGGTGGGGGTGATGGGCTGAGGTGGGAGGATTGCTTGAGCCTGGGAGGTTGAGGCTGCGGTAAGCTGTGATTGCACCACTGCACTCCAGCCTGAGTGACAGAGCGGGACCCTGTCTCTAAAAAATATATATATAAAAAATTAAGGAGACTGTGGTGATAGTTGTATATATCTGTGACTATAGTAAACCATTAAGTTGTACACTTATAGTGTGTAAATCTTATGGTATTTAAATTATATTTTAATAGACAATGTTTTTGAAAAAAGGAAACATCCTGATATCAAAAGAGACTGTGTTTAGTTTTAAACCTTTCAACATTTTTCTATATGGGATATTCAACACCACATTGAGCAGTAATCTCAATTTAACCCGAAAACAAGGTTTCCCTGAACATTTCACTGGACATGTAAAGCTTAACTATGAAATTCTACTAAATTTACAAAGCCCCATCCCTGCCACAGTCTATTCAAAAACTGCTAGCTGTGGACCACATCTGCAGTACTTCACGGCTCCTCCAATTAACAGGCAGGAGATCCAGCCCCTGTGTTTATCTCTGCCACTCAGTCACACATTCCTGGGCCTCAGTTTTCTCATCCATGCTTCTGGCACACTAGCCCTCACCCTAACAAGTTCCACAGTGTGTTGTGAGGATCAGATGAGATCATGAAAAGCACTTTTAAAAGATGAAAGCATTGTAAAAACAAGACATTATTCCTTAGCACTCCCTGCAAGAAGCTTTAGCAACTACCCCCCTAGGGAGAGAAGATTAAGTATATACAAAGTAAAAACAAAACTTTACCTAGCATTTTCAACCAAATTCAAAAAGTGTTTTACATTCATTAAGCTTTCAGGGTGATAAACTAGTATATCATTTGAATATTTTCGTCAGTCCTCTAAAGTGAGATATGATGTCATCGCCTTTTTCAGAGAACTGAATATTTTCCACGCAACGTATTTCATGGATATGCAGAATAGTAGTAAGAATTATCAAATTCCATCTTTTTTAATATAATACTAATACCAAAAAAAGCCTTTAAAATTAAAAAATAATCTTGGTCACACTTTGAACATACTTAGCATTCCTTTTAAAGAGTTTTCCCTCCTGGCAGTGGATTTTGGGTTGCAGTGTCTTAAGCAGAGAAAGCAAATCCAAAGAGAAAGGGGGAAAAAAAAAAAAAAAAAAACAAGGGAACAAGTGTGATGCATCAGTTGTAAGGGAGCACTTTACAAAGGGAATGAAAAAGGTCTGGCAGGCTCGCCCTCAGGGTTCCTCCCTTGAAGGACCTGGCCAGTTATGCGGCTACATTAATTCATTGCAGGAGAGGGAGCCAAGTTCTCCAACTATGATTCTCAGAATTAAAAATATTTCTGTTGTCCAAGTCGTTTTACATATATTATCCCTTTTGATCATCACAATATAAGAGAAGCATTGTTTTTCCTACTTATGAATCGTAGAACCAGGAAAAGTATCCATCACTCCGACTCGTTTTACCTCTCTGTACTGTCCTATGCCCTGCACAGAGAACGGAGGGCTCCCACGCCTGAACTAAGAGATTTGGCCAATGCTGGCTTGGCTTCTGCTTGCCTAAGCCAAACCCCTGGGTCGACCCAGGGTGCTCTGAGTTCCTATCTGAAGACTTGATCAAGGCTGTCAAAGCCATAAAAAACAATGAGTTCGTGTCCTTTGTAGGGACATGGATGAACCTGGAAACCATCATTCTCAGCAAACCGACAAAAGAACAGAAAATCAAACACTGCATGTTCTCACTCATAGGTGGGTGTTGAACAATGAGAACACATGGACACAGAGAGGGGAGCACTACACACTGGGGTCTGTTGGGGGGAAATGGGGGAGGGACAGCAGGGGGTGGGGAGTTGGGCAGAGATAGCATGGGGAGAAATGCCAGATATAGGTGATGGGTAGGAAGGCAGCAAATCACACTGCCACGTGTGTACCTATGCAACAATCTTGCATGTTCTTCACATGTACCCCAAAACCTAAAATGCAATTAAAAAAAAAAAAGGAAAAGGAATTTGCCTTTTGTTCTAGCCAACACCTGATGAGAGGCCACTGATACTCCCTTCCACTTTCTTGGACCATTTACTTAAAAATAAATAAATAAATAAAGCTTACAATTGTAAATCCTCCCTGTGTCCCTTTGAGATACAGGTGGTCCATGACCTATAATGGTTCAGTCTGTGATTTTTTGGCTTGGCGATGGTGTGAAGGCAATACACATTCAGAGAAACTGTACTTCAGAATGGTACAACCATTCTGTTTTTCACTTTCAGTGTAGCATTCAATAAATTACATGAGATATTCAACACTTTATTATAAAATAGGCTTTGTGTTAG